CCGCCGGCCCGGGTGGTGGGGGTGGGGGGGGTGGAAGGCCCTGGCCAAACAATAGCCCCCCCTGAAGCCCGCCGGAGACCCAGCTTCCCGCTATTGTCCCAGCCCTCCGGGGCTGCAGCCACCACTCCTTGGCCCCTCTGCCCCCCCAGCAGGGACCAGCAGCCCAGCTTAAGGGTCTTAAGCAAACCCAGATAAGCCAGAGGCAAGACCCATCACCAGAGTCACCCTGCAAATCCCCCACGGGTTGCAGGGCACGAGGTGAGAGAGGGTCTGTCAGGGGGTCTGTAGCCTGGGAGCCTCAGGGCACGGTGACCTGCTCTGCTCTGGACACTGTGCCCCGGGCACGGCTGGCTGGGTGAAGGTGCAGACCCTGCTGCCAAAGGGCACTTAGGGGCAGGACATGCCAGCGGGGAGGCAGGAGGACACACTCACACTCCAAGCTCCCTACGCTGGCTGCCCCTGCGTTCCCACCCTCTGCAAACACTCCCTGAAGCCCTGAAGAGCTGACACGGCTCTTCCCAGCCCAAGCAGCCGCCCCTGGGCTCCTGGCAGCCCTGCCTGAAGGGGAAAAGTTCAGGAATGCAGGCTCTCCAGGCCACTGCCAAGCCTGAAGACTTATTTAACACATGATCGTATAATTAGTAAACGATCCTCCCTATCTTCTCCTCGCCCTGCAGTCCCCTCGGGGGGTTTGGTCAAGACACAGGGAGCAGGGAGGGGATGAAGAGGAGGATGCTGCTCTCACCTTCATAGAGCTGCGCATACTGAGGGAATCCCGCCGCCCGCAGCCACTCACAGGCTTTCTTGGCTTCGGTTTCTGAAAGAAAGCAAAGAACCAGCCTGAGCATCCCACCCAGCAGCACTGCTGCCCCCCAAGCCCAGCTCCTGCAGTGGGAGCAGCTCCCGAACCCGTGTTTCACTTGCACAGGCAGAGGCAACAAACCTGCCCCGGGGTGTGCAGGGGGGCAGCAATGGGCACAGGGGGTCCCTCCCAAGGCAGCAGGAGCTGCTCAGCTTTGCCCCCCGCAGCACAGGCAAAGAGGAGGAGGTAACAGGAACGACGAGGCCACAAGACATAACTTTAACCTCCCAAGGAAACGTTACATTTCTGAATGCACCGAAGCAAACACAGTGCTCTGCCAGGCCAGAGAGGAAGATCCTTATTTTTAATAATTAGTTCAGAGCTTATCGAAGCTCAGGGCAAACAGCCTCCAAACTTTTGCAAACAGCCTCCAGAAAAACCTGCCAAAGAAACTTTTCCTTTTCCCTCCTTCTCCCCACCACCCGTGACCACCTCACCTCTTCCTTCAAGCTGGCATTCATCCCGGCAGTCACCAAAACCCCAGTGGTTTCCTCCACCCCCCTGCCTGGCCAGTTCCCACCCCTCACTCACAGCTCAGCTATCGCCTGGATGAGCCCATCCAACCACCAGTACTATTTTCTGGGAAATGTCTCAGATTTACAGGACTTGAGGCAAAACAGCCCAAAGCTCACGCAGCCAAAGCAAGCTGCTGCCTGGTGTTGGCAGCCCGTGGCCTGCTCAGATTTATACTTCTGAGGGTGACAAACATTTGACCTCAAGTGTAGAAAATGTGACAGCAATTTCAGGGTCTCGCCCATCCCTCCTAGAGGCACCACCCAGCACAGACCAGCCTGAGGCTGGATCCACCCCAAGTGGATTGCAGCAAAACACCCCGATTTCATCACCAACCACCAGCAGCCCCAGACCACAGCTCTGGCTGGGTTTGCAATTACAAAGATACAGCAGAGATTTAAAAAAAAAAAGCCCCAAACAAGCAGTTCAGTTCAGGACAGGATCAAGCCAAAACCCTGGACCCAAATACTTCAGTTTTGGGAAGAAGGTTTGGAATGAGTATCTGCATCTGGATCCAAACAGTGCAGCTTCCATGAACTGTGCCCTGAGCCCAAAATCCATGGCTGACCCCTCCTTGCCCTCGGCAGGTTCCAAAACTAGATCTTAATCCCAGAGCCTGCCAGGGTCAGCCCAGTCCTGGTGGAGCCCCACATCCCTCCCGAGCCACCCAGGGCCCCTGCAGGGATGGCACCCTGTGGCTGACACCACCCAGCTTGGGGGGCACCACGACTCACAGCCCATGTGCGTGGGCTTTGGTGATGATGGCTCCCTAGAGCAGACCCCTGCCACTTCCCCATGGTGGGCAGGGTCCAAGGG